AGGTTTTAATATAATTTAACCAAGTTTTACTTTTACCATTTAGACGTCTGTCTAAACTCTTAATTTCGTCCAGCAACTTTAGATGTAAGCATAAAAAAAGCTATACAAATTTTTTTTTTGTCTTCTAATACCTGACCTATTATAAAAAGAATGTAGAAACAGATCAACAAGTGATATACAAATAAATAATAAAAAAGTTATAAAAGTAGACTAGCATATAGATAGCTTTTATTAGATAGTTAATATTCTTAATATAGAACCTGATGTCTAAATAGGTACAAAATTCCAGTATACTTAACATAAAATCTAATCCTAAAATGAAGTAAAAATAAGAAGAAAAAGAAGTAGTTAGATTAAAGAATAGGGTAATAATTAGATTATAAAATAGTAATAAAAATATATTAATATAAAAATAAAAATATTAGAAAAGATTTAAAAAAAAAGTTAAAGATAATTATTAAAAGAAAATAGGTAGGTTAAAGGATATTAATTAGATTATATCACTTAGATTAAAGGGTGACATTCAGATTATAAAAATTAGATTATAGAGTGATATTCAGATTATATAGTAGTATCCAGATTATAGAGTAATATTCAGATTATACAGTGGTATTCAGATTATAGAGCAGCATTCAGATTATATAGTGGTATTTAGATTATAGAGTGATACTATAAACCTAGTCTAAGGGGAATACTACTCTTTGATATAATTATATCAAAGAGTAGTATTCCGCTATCCTTTATAATTAAAAAATATAATAAAATTTTCTAAATATAATCTATCAAATATTATAGAAGAATAGAATAAATTTAAGAAATATTGATTTATATTATTATTTAAAATATATTATCAAAATTTCTAATAAACTTATTACTTATACATTTTTATGTAATTAATAAATTTAGGATATAAAATACATTTTGATTAGCTACAAAAATAATCATATTAAAAGATTAATAATACAAATATTTTTTTATACATTATGTAAGAGCCTTTGATCTGAAAACAATAATCCATTAAAATTTATTGGAGTGATGATTTGATGATAAAGTCTCAGGTCGGAATTATACAGCAATATTTTGAGTAATGGATGCAATGAGATAATTAGTGTTACAGTAAACATTATTGTCACGAAGCCTAGATAAAGAATTTTTCCGTGATTTATTTTAAGAATCAAACCAAAAAAATTTTTTAGGTTGAATCAAATGTAAATGCCATTATTGATTTTAATACCTTCGTTTTTAATTAATTTTACTACTTTTGATATTAAGATGGGAAACAGAATATGATCCGATTAAATAAAAATAATAGGATTTTGAAAAATCGCCGATTGGTTAAATGTTTATAAAAATTTAGTAAAAAAATATACGATGCACCTTTTTTTTAACTTTATCATAAAAATCTTGATTCAACTTTTTGTGGCTTTTATAATACAATTGTTCCAACTAATAAACGGGGAAATTTACCAAACTTGGATGGTTCCACGACAAAGCCACTAATTTTTGAAAAGTTGGTTGATTTTACTACATCCGTTCTCGGTTCGGTCTTTAGCGATCTGGGGATTTTTAGACCGATTTTTAGTCCGTCTTATAATTCCAGCAAGAATGGTAAAAGAACTTTAATTGTGTAATGATATTATATTCCGTTATGTAAAAAATCAGACGAAGAAGCCCTTCTTGTTTTTAAGTAAATAATTACAATTTATACTAATCCGACTCAATTGTTTGAGCGGGACAAAAATTTCTCGTTTATAAATTTTTCTTTAAAACATGGCTTACAATATATACTAAAATATCTAGGTTCGATTACATGATTGGTTCATAGTTTTAATAAGGTAATTATCGCTAAACAAAAGGTGTCGGACCGATCCGGTCCAATTTGATTTGATCCAATCCCAACCTTCAGAATGGACCGAGATCGGTCATATGATCGGATCGCGATCCTAACTGTTCGTTAACATCCCTAATTATTACCGAAGAAAATTAACTGACTACTTTGTTTACAAACCACAAAAGCATTCATTATTAAATTCTTGTAACCTTTGCTTTTATGAAGCACCTTTTCTACCATTTTCTTCCCTATATTCTTTATTAATAATTCCTAGTTTAACTCGATACCTTTAATTTTTTACTCCAGATTTTTACAAGGTTCAAATGAATTTTTAATTGCTTATTTAATGACAACAAATTGCTTATAACTATGCCGCATCAAAATTCCTCTGAAATAACTACACCGACTAAAGCGAGTTTAAAGGCGTGGTGGAAACAGTTTACGGTAAAAAATGCAAAAAGAGAAAGTGAAGAAAAAGGAAAAGGTAACCTTATTGATGACAAAAAAACATAAGAAATTAGGGAATTCGGTTTTACAAAACACGAAGTTAAGACTATTACTTTTGGAAAAGGTGGAATATGTGTTAAGGAATAAAAAAAAAAGACTATATTAGTATATAAATTAGAAAGATAATTCCCTTAAAAAAAAAAGAATTTGATCAAATTAAATTTTATTTCAAATCACTATTAGGTACTAATGGGATATTCGGTATAAGACTTTCCGATGGAATCGAATATGCAAGTGTGCCGATATGTATGGCTGGCGCAGACGGTCAACAATATGTATATGGGTATATACCTACAATAGTTGCAAAATGTGGAATGTATTTAAAAGAAAAAGGTAATAAAAATACTCGTTTTATAAAGTACTATTTATGAGTTTCGTTTAATAACAAATTATGATAATAGCAACTACGACGGAAGGTATATTTCGATTAAGTGGATCTGCGAAAAGAATAAAAGAATTGCAAACTATTTTCGATTCACCACCTTCATACGGAAAGACATTAACTTGGATGGGCTATTCAGTACATGATGCCGCAAATATACTGCGAAGGTATTTAAATCATTTACCGGATCCAGTCATTCCACAACAATGGTATGATCAATTTAGAGCAATTCATGGTAAGGGGTTAAATTAAACAAGTTTGCCTTAACTTTTTTTTTAAAAAAAGGTCAAATTTTAAGTTAACTTCTGGTTGAAATTTTTTCCTTTTTTTTTAGCAAACAACATAGATCCACAAGATAGAGTAAAAAAATATCAGGAATTGATTTCAATGCTACCAAAAGAAAATCAACATTTACTTCTCTATATTCTTGATCTTCTCGCAGTTTTCTCATCGAAATCCGAACAAAATTTGATGCCATCAAAAAATTTGGCATCGATTTTTCAACCGGGTATTCTTTCACACCCTGCTCACGATATGGCTCCTGAACAATATAAGCTATCTCAAGAGGTTTTGGAATTTCTAATTGATTATCAAAATTTCTTTTTGATGTCTTTACCTTCTCTACCAAATGACGGAAAGGAAGAGAAGACGATGACTTCAAATAATAATGAGCCTCAAGAAGGAAAAGAATTATCGAGAGATACAGAAAATTACTATCGTGGGATCGATGGAGAAAGTGGTTCAATATCTCTACAAGAGCCTCATGACCTAAACAATCTACCTGTACCACAATTATCTCTACGACGATCAAGTTTAAGTCTTGAACATCATCGAAACAAATCGGTAGATTCCATAACGATGATACCGGGTAGTAATAATGAACAAGATACAAACGAAGATCTACAATTAACGAAACGGGTTCAAGGACAAGATTCTTTAACTCGTAAAATTACCACGGACGGTCTAACGAGAAGGAGGACATTGCCAAGTAAAAAATCGAAATATGGAATTACTCGGGAAAGGACATCATCAACGATTGGCGGTTCGAACGGTAATGATATTTTCCGTTCATAGCTACTTTCGTATATTCTATTATATGGTTTTTTATTCTATTTTGAATTATTGGATCCGAATTATTATATTATTACTTCTTTTATTTTATTTTATTTCTTTTTTCTTTTTTATAAGTAATTGTTTCTGTTAAATTAGTATGGTTATTTGGGAAGCGTAAGCTTGTATACGGAATATAGAGGAGACTTTTTTTTATAATATTCCCATGTTACCATTTTAATTAGAACATAGAAATTTCATTTTTTTTTTTTTTTTAATAATAGCTTAGGGGGAAAACAAGAAAATATAATTAATATATTTAAATTTATATTTTATTAACTGTATGTTTCTTTCTCTTTACCCTTTTACTTTAAACCTCTAATCTTTGGGTGAATTACTTTTCAAAAATATAATTATTATTACATTATCATTCATTATCATTATTATTATTATTATTATTATAATATATATATTATATTTATATATATATATATATATATTTTTTTTTTTTTTTTTTTGGTTTTTGTTGATCAAAATCTACCAAAAAAAAAAAAATTTATCAATAAAAAAAAGCTTTTTTTTTTAAAACTTTATTTTAATTTGTTTTTTTAAAAAAAATTTTTTTTTTTTCTTTAGATAAACCAAATGGAAATTCACAAAAACAAAATTTAGCACAATTTGCATCATTAATAAATTTACCAAAAGAAAATAATAATAATTATCAACAACAACAAAGAACAGAAAGAAAAACATCACAAAGCTTTAGAAAAAAATCCTCATCAAAAAGAACAAGAAATAATAGGAGTGGTACAAATGGTAATATTGAACCTGTAAATACTTCAATAAATTCGTCGTCATCATCATTGAAAGGCGGACCATCATCACCAAAATCGCCGTCAACGCAAACGTTGAATGGAAAGAAGAAATTGGTTGATGTTGTGTCGGATGAAAAAGAGAACGCATCCATAACTAGCTCATCAAGTTCATTCATAGCTAAAAGGCGTAAACGTAGTGATAAAAAAGGTAAAGGTGCACAAGAAGTTCAAGGGAAAAAAGAAAAAATGACATTTTTGTTGGAATTAAGAAGAAAAATGTGGTTTGGTGGGAGTAATAATAGCGGAGATAGTAGCGTGAGTAGTTTCGGAAGCAAAAATAGTAACTTAAGTGTTGGAACTGTTGATGGTAAGAACAATGGAAGGAAAAAAACTTTTGAACAATTAAAGGACAAATTGACTTGAGTTTTAATTTTACTTTGTATAACAAATTTGACATTAAAATAATTTCCTATCAAAGATTTTTTGGTTTATTATTTGTGTATATTAACTGAAATTTTGACTTTTAAGTAAAAAAAATTTTTGTTTTGATTCTAACTGATAGTTATTCACTTTTTTCATTTTTATTTAGAAGATTTGTCATTTTCATTATATTTAATTATATTAATTCTAGTAACAATTTTATTTTGAATAAAATCAAATCTATATATAAATATATTAGTTATCCGGGGATTTCTTTAATTCATCATGATTATTAGCTTTTAATATGTTTGCATCCATATCTAAATACTCTGCAGTAAATATTTTAAATATATTATTCAAATTATATACCACAACAGGATCGATGGCATTAAAATCATCCTACATTATTGCGATAATTATGATTATTATAATTATTATTATTTTATAGAAAGTTAACAAATAAAAAATACTCACAGATAATTGATGCCAAACAATAGGAAATGGTGAAGGAATAATATGTAATACGGGAACACCTCTCATTAAAAACGGTATATGATCATCTTCAATATGGGGTTGATAAGTGTTCATAGAATATTGATTAAAATAACTCTCATGATCTTCTAAACTATCATCTATATTATTCTCTTTAATTTCAAACTTTCCATCTTTTGAGCTGCTAGTTACACTACCTGGTAATTTTATTAAATTATTCGTGGTTAACCTAGATTCTATTTGAATTAATTGACTAAACATCCAAGAAGTTGTTGTAAAATAATTGTTTAAGGTCGGTCTTGAAGCACCTAATAAATCTAATAATATTAATACATCTATTCCACTTAACATATTTTTTCCTTTATTTTGTGGTGATTCTATGTCTATTATATATGTATCTTCCCATTTAGCCGCCAAATGTCTTTTATAATTAAAGAAGAGGATTTAATAACTTATAATATATTACTTGACAAAAAAAGATGACATACCTTGATCCATAAATCGAATCATCATGAGTCCAATATTTAAAAGCTTCCTCCCCATCAAAGAAAATAATCTGTAGTGTGGCATCTTCTTGTTTTCTTTTATCAAGGTACTTATCCAAACTATATGCTAATTCCATTAACATTGCACAGGGTACAGCACTGTCAGTAGCACCTACAAATTCTTGATGGTCAAAGTATTTACTATCAAAATGTGCAGCAAACACTAATCTTTTGGTAGCTTTAATATCCTTGGTTACGATAATATTAGAAAAGTTTATTTGTCCATAAGGGGTATTATCAGTAAAATCATCCGTTTCTACGTGCCATTTGAGTTCAGTGAATTTATTGACGATGAAAGAATTCACTTTTGTATTATTTTCGGTACCGGGCACGCGAGGGATTAGCAAGGAAGGAAGAAAATCTGTGAATAATGAAGAGGAGCTGGTGTTTGCGAGAAGTTGAAATGATTTTTCTGATAATGTCTTGTATGCATTACTACTATTATTCGATGTAAAATGTATTATCAATATGATTGATAAAATGAATACCCTCATTATCATCAACATAATATTAAAATAAAAACCCAAAAAAAATAAAATGCTGGTTAAAAAAAAAAAAAAACCTTTTTCGAATGAAGTTAAACTTTTGCGATCATATGATCTTGGATTCGAGCCGGATCGGTCCGTCACGTGGTCAATAGATTTACGACAACTTTTTCAACCCAATTTTAGCCATAATGTAATGCATTTCTTCACTAAGTATACCTAATATACGTTCTTTTTGACGTGATAAAATGTCGCGTTATTCAATACTAATGTTTGCCATTCTTTAAAAATTATGTTGTAATTCTTCGATTGAAGTGCAAAATTTGGTATCCCATCGGCCCCTTTTTATTTCATGTTTTGACGACATGTTTTGACGCTTCTTTAATCTTTTCCTGAAATAAATTTTTTTTTTTCATTGTGTAAATAAATATTATTATATAAGTTATATATCTAAAATTCGAACCCTGATAAAATTATCACGTGAATAATTCTTAAGGTTTCAACAAAAAAAGGACAGTTTGTAGGTCGATCACCAAAAAACGTAGTACTTCGCGTCTTATTTCTGCTTATTTTAATTAATAATAAAAAAAACTATAATGATGTCTACTTCTCTAAGCGACACGCCTTCTTCCCCGAATAATGAGGAGTCTACTGGTACATTCTTATCTTCTTTTTTTTTTTTTTTAATAAACACATATACTTCAAGATATTAACTTTGAATCGAATCTTATTTATTTTTCAAAAAAGAGGAAACGAAACAAGAACGTGCAGCCATAGAAGAAAAAATAGTTAACGAAGAATATAAAATCTGGAAGAAAAATTCACCGTTTCTATATGATTTGGTCATCACTCACGCGCTGGAATGGCCTACGTTAACGTGTCAGTGGTTTCAAGATATAGAAAAGTAATTTGATTTCAAAATCAAACTATTCGGTTAAGTTTTTTTTGTTTCGGGGAAAAAGAAACAAACAAAAAAAATTTTTTTTTTATATTTATCATATTTAATTCACATTTTAGGCCCGAAGGAAAGGATTATACTATCCAGCGTTTATTAATCGGTACTCATACATCGGACAATGATCAAAATTATGTTGAAATCGCTAATGTCCAACTTCCTAAAAGCGATTCTGATATCGATCCTCGAAAATATGAAGAAGAAAAAGCAGGTTTTAATTATTTGAATTTTTTTTTTTTTTTTTAAAAAAAAAGATCCAATTTATTATGAATTCAATCAAAGTTAATATAATATTTAATCAGAAGCAGGTGTGCATGGTGGATCATCCGAAAGTAGAATCACCGTTGTTCAAAGAATAAATCACGACGGTGAAGTTAATAGAGCACGATATATGCCTAAAAATCAAAATATAATTGCAACAAAAACGGTAGCAGGAGATGTTTATATATTTGATCTTACAAAGCATCCACCTAAACCTCTCGCGGAAGGGGTTTGTAGTCCCGAGTTGAAATTGCGAGGACATACAAAAGAAGGGTAATTATCATCTTTATTCTTGTTCATTTACTTTCCGATTGATTCTTGTTACTGAATTTCGTCATTACGATTTAGGTATGGGTTATCTTGGAGTCCGTTTAATGCTGGTCACATTATAGATGCTTCTGAAGACACCACTATTTGTCATTGGTATTGCGATAAAATTGGTTACTTTGTGAATTTAGAACTTGTTACAAAGGTTTTAAATAGCTTTTTTATATAAATTAATTTATAGGGATATCAATGGATATACGAAGGAAACAAGAACAATGGAGCCGTTTAGAGTTTATCGAGGGCATGAAGCTATCGTCGAAGACGTTGCGTGGCAAACAATAAATATCTTCGGTTCAGTAGGGGACGATCAAAAACTTCTCATGTAAGGAATAATAAAATCTTTTTCATGGAAGCATTCTGTGATATTTTAATCTCACACAGTTAGATCTTGTAGTTGGGATACACGTGATAATAGCGACAAACCATCACAATCAATCATTGCTCACCAAAGTGAAGTTAACAGTTTAGCATTCAATCCACATAACGCAAACATTTTGGTGACTGGTGCCGGGGACAAGGTATATTATTATGATATCATGCATCATTACACACCTTAAAATTGTTTATAATATTATTTTATTCTTCAATCTTTAGACCTTAAGTTTGTGGGATTTACGTAACCTTAAAGTCAAGTTACATACACTTGAACAACATACAGGTGAAATTGTTCAAGTCGAATGGTCACCACATGATGAAACAATTCTCGCATCTGCTGCGGGTGATCGTAGGGTTAATATATGGGATTTAAGTAGGATTGGTTCGGAACAAACGGCTGAAGATGCTGAAGATGGTCCACCGGAGTTATTGGTATATTCAGATTGTCTGTTACTTTTGAATTATTTTATAAATTTATGCATATTTTAATTGATTTTTCTTTTTCCTTCTTTTTTGTTTTTTTTATTCTTTTTTTAAAAAAAAGTTTATGCATGGCGGGCACACTAATAAGATTTCAGATTTTAGTTGGAATCCTCATCTTCCCTGGGTCGTAGCTAGCACCGCGGAAGATAATATTATACAAGTGTGGCAACCAGCTGCGAATATCTACACTATTGATGAAAGGGAAATCCCAGCCGACGAATTAGAAGATTAAAATATTGATTGATTGAATAGACAAATAAGTAAAATCTTTCTTTAATTGATTGTAGTTATTAGAATAAAAGATATAATATAATGTCTTAATTTTTTTTTAAGCTTATTATTTTGAGTTAGATTATATATATAAAGAGATTTATAATTGTATAAAATAGGATATTATTTTTTGCTCGAATATATTTTGATTAATTGTTATATACTGTGTTTTATTTATTTCTACACCAATTTCTTTGAAAAAGCACTACGTGTTGAGTATATAATAAGCATTGAACATTTTTTTTTGTATACCAGACCCAACATATAGGAGGTTTGATAAGAAAAAGAGGTTCTGAGAATATATTATATATTCTCAGAACCTTTTTTCCTAACAACCATTCTATATAGCAAATTTAAATCTTTTAGCTGTCTTGAGGCAACAGAATTTTTTTCCTTTTTACTTTTTGTAGTGGTATTGTGTAAATTGAAGTTTTAAAACAGTTAAAGGTTTTTTCATTATAATATACTTTTTATTGTAGGTTAAATTCCATTAAAATTTTTAATAATTTATAAATATTTTATTGATTAATTTTAAATTCAATCAATTTTTTTTATTTATAAAAAAAATTTTGGTTTGAAAGTAATTTTATAATATAAATTTAATAGTATAAGTATTTAATTGCTTATACTATTTATTAATTTAAATTTAATTAAATTTTTTATTTTAAATATTTTGAATCTATTAATATGGGAGTTAAAGATGAGGGACGAAACCCCAAAAAAGCTATTAATAAACAGCCGAAATTATATTAAAACATAGTGAGGGGTACGACGAAACCCCAAAACCCGAAATTAACCGAAACTATATTAAAAACATAGTAAGGGATATGACGATATTATTTTGAGGAAGTTTCGGCGAGCAGGAGTATTACTAGTAAAATTACATTACATAATCATATGATTTATTATAACAAAGGAGAATGATTTAGATATTTTAGTTAATTTATCATATGAAACTAAGTCATATTTTTTTAGTAACATATTGGCTAGCTTATGCTTAATAAAATAAATAATTTAAAAATTAAAGTATTGCAAGATGTAAATCGAAAATTAAAAACACATTACTTTCAATTTTTTGTATTATATGTATTAAGCTTCATTATAGTCATTATAGGATTTAATATTGGCTTTTTGGATTTTTTTCTTGCAAAAGAAACCAAATAACAATTATATAATGACATCCTATAATATTTTTGATTTCTAAAATTACCAAATAAAAGATAAATTCTTTAATTATACTATTACTTGTGCAAAATCAAGCTTTAAGAGTATTTTCAAATTTGATTTTATGAATTCAACATATTAATTCAAATTATAATAAAATATTTTTTTTTATAATCGATAATCAATATGTTTCTAAAAAAAAATATGGTTCAGTTACATATGATAAATTAACTAAAATATTTAAATCAAAACTGTGTAATATTTTTGTTTTTTCAATATGATTTTACTAAAAATATGTTCATAATAATAAGATATAAAAATTTTGTATTTAATAAAATAATAAGAAAATATATTATATACCAAATAAATATTTTAATAAATAAATCAAACTTTTAGTTTAATTTTATAAATATAACATTTTTATTTATTTATATATCATATTCACTTATAATAAAAAATAATATTTTAATTTATAAACTAAAAAAATTAACCAATTATTATTTAATTTAATATATTTAATATATATAACCCTATAAATAATATGTATAAGGAAAGTATACGGAAATAATACGTTTAAAAAACGTATAATAAACGTAGAAAAAC